AATCCCATTGAGGCACCTGACCTCTGTGTTGGGTTTTCTCATTTCTGTGTCTCTCATAGAGATGAGCATGACTGGTCTTACAGAAAGTGAACACAAGGGCGCAGACGCAAACAGAAATCTCCATAAAAAACAGTATCTTTAGTTCTCCTGAAACCCGCGGCAAGTTATTCCCAAAGTTTTTGTTTTTGACATACGGACAAGTAGAAAGTGAAAATAAAACAAACCTGACCTTTTCTTTTTGGATATTATCTGGCAGCTTGAAGCCTTTGGCACCTATAAAAACCCAGCTTGACCTGAACTTTATATTCTTTATTTCTTTACTTCCCAGCTCTTCTACTATTTTTTTTACGTCGTTTTTCAGCCTAGGGAAACGTAGAGAAAAAAATGAGTGCTAAAAATTCAGGATGTGAAAAATGATGAGAAAGATCATGGCTGATTCAGGCTTTACACTCAGCATTAAGCCAGAAGAAGCAAAAATGAGAATTAAGTAGTCCTGAGAGCTGTGATAGTAGCATGAATTGAATTCACAAAGAGAATTGAATTCATCCATTTTCTTCCTCCTCAATACATTTCTGATGTCAAGACAACCTGTTTGTAACAGCATAGCAGAAAGAAAAAATGTATCTCAAATACGATCTGATCTTTCAACCCTTCTTAAATAAGGACAAGGATTAAGTATTTTCCTGGGTAATTACCATATCATGAGCTCAACTAAAAAACCCTTGAGATTCCAAAGCACYTGAATAATCAGGTTAAACGTAAGAGGGAACCCAAACTAGAGACATTATAATTGGATAAATAACATTTCAGAACCAAGAAGGTTGTGACCCAGAGGTAACAGCAGTGCCCTTTAGGGTGCTTTTCAACAATATAATATCTACCTATCCTAGGGAGCATCAATGTTTGGATATGTGCAGTTATGGAAAAGATGTGGAATCAAAACTTTAAGGCAGGAAATGAGAGCACAACTCTGAGTATAGAATTCACCAATTCWCAACAGAAATTTTCCAGCCATTCACTGCTCTCCCCCTCATCCTCTGTAACTTCCTTACTTGGTGCTTCCATCATCGTAGGTGGCCATCAGAAGGAGGGTCCCTTCTGGTGCGCTCCTGATGAAATCCATCATCTCTCCCGAGTGGTCTGTGGAGTCAATCACACGCCTCGTTATTCCTGGCACACACAGCACATTCCTACTCATGCACACAAGGTCACAAACATTTTCAGGGAATCAGGRAATCAGCTTCCACTAGCTCAGAGCATTCTGTTTGTCCTCACTAACAGGTGAGAAAACTTATTCTTCAAAGTTTAGAAACGTGTGTTAAAATCTATTCTGAAAGTAGAGCATCTTTCCAGCTATGTGGAAGGGTGTTGAGGGACAGATTAGGAAATTTCCTATGATAATTTTAAAATCATGATGATTTTATAACTAAAATAGAACAAGATATGCCAGGAAAAGGAATTTTGCTAAGTGAAGCATCTGGAGGTAGTATCTGGTTAAGTGACGTTCCTGCCAGACGGAAATAATGGAGGCCAAAAGAAAAGATAAAACAAAAAATAATAAGATAATTTAAATTTAAGATAYTTTTTAAAAAAGATAATTAACTATTTCAACTAACAGGAAAAATTCAGCTTTTCAGGCAAATTTTGTCTTCATATCTGGGCAGAACATATTTTATGAAGACAGCAGCTGTTTGTTTCTAGCTGATCCCTGATGATAACACAATCACAGTCATTAAAAGAGCAGAATTACATAAATGCAAGTACTTTTTCAATGCTAAAAGATGAACAAAAACTCTGTTGCACTATTTTCCTTACCTCCTGTCCACATCTCAAAAAAACTTGATCGTATAGCTTTTCCTGTTTTATCTGTAATTTATAAAAAAAATTCTAAATATGAGCAAATATTATTTTATTCAGTCAGCATAGTAAGCATTTTCAGCTAAAGCTAGGCATCCCTAATTTTGTGTATTAATTGGCTTCTTTTGTTTCAGTTCTTAAATTGGAGGAAATATGAAGTAACACAAGTTGAAGATTTGGGGAGAATATGTTTTTTTTCATGTAGTCTCAGAATCATCCAATGCAACAAAAAAAAATTATTAATTCTTATTTTAAAGAAAAATCCTTTTTTTGATGTGTGCTTCYATGCTTTTATATCTAAATATATACGATTTTAGGTCACAACCATAGATAGGAAAAGTGGTTAAACCTCAGACTATTTGAATGAGTTTAATCCTATTCTGCAGTGTTTGAGATGTTTTCATCCCATCTGGATGCCATAAGACATTTATTTAGCAGTCATTACCTTGCCTGATCTAATTAGAGGACATGTAGAAAATATTGGCGCAAGATAATAGACCTGCTCCTATTTGCCATAATTTGGCTTTATGCACTCAAGATTAGTATTTCCCCTCTTACACTCATTTTTAACTCATTTTTAACTCATTTTTATCTGTTATACACAGTAAAGATTTAATGATTATTGGAAAAAAAGACAGTAGTTAACTGGGAAAAAACTTTGGAACAGATTCTTGTCCAATTTAAACTTCAACAAAATCGGACAAATTTGGACAAAGCCAAGACCCTGCTTTGCAGTAGTGAGACAAAAAAATATTGAACTATAAGTGTTTTGTGATCAAAGCCATGTGCCTGTATACTCCCTTTCTTCCCTCCCCCACAAATTTGTGCATTAATTTTCCTCTAGACACCTTATGGAATACACTGCACTTCATCCCCAYTCCCATTCATCTAAGACAAAATTCAGGATTTAGGTGCCCCCAAATCTGGACTAAAGTGCACCTTTGGCTTTCCAGTGGCTTCTACTATAAGCAAAGTTAGATTAATACTAATTAAGCTTTGAGTTTGTCTTTCTGTCCACTAACCAAGACAGGAAAAGRAATTTGTCCTGCTTCCCCCTTATCAGTGGAGCAGCAGATACATTTTATCAAGGACTGAAGCTGTAAGTTGAGCATTACTACTGGAGGTGCCTGATATTTTTGCTGTACTACAATTCTTTTGTCTAATAAAATACACCACTTCTAGGTACACATTTTCTTATATTGATTATGAACATGTTTCTTTTGTTTACCCAGAAGACTGTTTCTATCACACAGATTTGTTTTTCTTACATTAACATGAATCAAGTTTGCAATATTTCCCTCTCCCTTCCATATTAGCTAGTAAAAAAACCCACAAAACAAAATATCCAACCCCCCAAGAACATTGGTAATTTATTGCAGTACAAAAGTATGTGTCTCTCTAACGTGTTTTCTCTTACTTACAATCCACAACGGCAATGTTTATACCACTTCCASTATTACCATTCTCTTCACTTATAAGCCTGGAATTGAAAAAAATACAATATCAGTAAAATACATCTGTCTAGAAGCTCAGATGCAAAGTTATGTTTACCAGTGCTAAGTAATTTTCTGACGTTTCTGGTTTTTTTTTCAGTTATTTAATTCAAGACTCTGTTGTAAACAAGAGCTTAAAAATCCTGCACAGTGTATCAGACAGTTTCCTTCAACAATGACTCTTTCAAAATGAGCCAGATCAAGAAAATATTTCATACAAGTGCAGCCAGAAAGATAAAGGAGAAAAAAAACCCAAGACCAAGACAAAGTGGTTTTGTGGCTGTATTCTCTGTGGATTATGTCTCCAGGAAAGGTCACTGCAAGGTTTTGAAGTTATTCTACCTGTCCAGTTTGAAAAACCATGAAGGAACCTCACTTTCAGAAGATGCTGACCAGTTAACATTCTGTATATTGGCTATCCTGCACCATGAAAATTAAAAATCATATTGGAAACTAACAGTCATCTGTAGCTTATGTAGAGGAACAAACAAAAAAAAATCAATGTAGAGTTAGGTTTAAATTAAATACAAAAACCAGAAAAAAAAACCCCAAAACAGAACAACAATAGTTAAATAGTGTCAGTTAAATTCTGATGTTTTCCACCAGTAGGTAGAAGCTCATGTGCTGCTTCTGAACCAAACCCAAAGACCTTTTGTCACAGTACAAAGAACTTGCTTATATGTAAAATTAGTGGTACTCACAGCTCATCTTCAAAACAAATTTTAGCACTCCTCTGCTTGGCACCACCGCTGAGGATGCGGTAGGCGAAGTTCCCAGGCGAGCAGGGAGACCAGTGGTCACACTTGTGCCTTTTAGGAGCTGGRGCTGCAACAACACAGATAAGAAGAGGTTTTTTTGGATGCTGCAGAAACAATTTCAACATGGGATCAGTCCCCTGAAGTCTCCGTGCTGAACTCAAACACATAAACACAGAATCCTGACAGTTCTCAGAGATCGTGGCAACATCATCCTGGGTTTGTTTGGGCTGGAAGTTATCACTGACTTTCAAACAGATGTTGGGTCCAGTGCAAGCTTATCCAGGGAAAAATGCCCTATGATCTGATTTGAATATAAGGTAATTATTATGTGCTATTCCATATAACAGGAAATAAGGGCTACAGGGATGAAGATGTCCTACCAACAGCTTGAAGTTAATAGTTTTCATTCCCTTTTCAAGCCTTTTAGTTTTACAAAGTAACAGTCATGAAATGATAAAAATACATGCATAAAATCACCTGGACATACTAGAACTAAAAAATAATGAGATTTTAATCACAAAGTTTAGTTAGTGGTTCAACTGTTTATCATAAATATAAAACATGTGATAGAACCAAAGCTGCAGTTTTGCACTTTTGTGACAGCAAACASGTGGTGTAAGAACACATGTTAATTATTGCATTTGTACACTTGCAAAAATAGGCTGATATTGTGTTTCTTCAAAAATAGTGTCTAAGCAAAGCTTTAGCCTTGCTTTAATTAACTTTACAGTCAACTTCATTCCWATAACAGCACACACCAAATAATTCCTTAGCTAACAAGCCACTTGTCATTAAGSACATAAACACACAACATCAGATACAGCATAAGGACAAAAAAGGAAATAAATACATCTACACACCTCTCAACACTGGTTTCTTTCCGATATCTTGAAGTGCAGCAAGAGACACTGTGTTTTGGGGCACATGAACTGCAAGAAGGTATCCCATATACCAAGCAGCCAAGGATGCCAACACGAGTCCAAAACATCTCAGAACAACTGTGAAGGGGAAAATAAAAAGAAAAAAACTGTGCCCTTAAGATATAAAAATRTTTTGATAGCAGCACAAAAAATCTTGTAATATTTTCTTGGCATTGCTACCCAAACTGGCTGTTTTCTGTCTGATTYACTGGGCTAACCACAGCCTTCGGAGATGTGGAAATAGAATATTTGTTGCATTCCCATCTCTGACAACCCCTTTCRTTTCTAAAAATTGATCTTCAAGCAGAAAATTCCCCCCAGCACTCCCTTCAATCCTCATCCATAATGACCCAAAGAAACACAAAGTTCAAAGTCCCCACCCTAGTACGATTTTGACTCTGAGAAGTAAGTATCAGATACTACAGAGGTGTTTTGCAGTTACCATCGATTTTTTTTTGTGACAGGCAAATGCTCCAGGAATGGTTTTAAATGCTGACCACATGGGAATTCCCTCCAGCCACAATTTCAACATGCCCAGCTTAAAACAACACAAGAAGGCCCAAACAATGCCTTTCACACCATGAGCTCTGACTGCATTCAAAGARTCACAGAATAATTTGGGTTGGRAGGAACCCTCAAAGTTAACCTATTTGACCTCCCTGGATTGAGCAGGGGAATCTTCAACTGCATCAGGTTGCTCAGAGCTCACTCCAGCCTGACCTCGGGTATTTCCAGGGATGGGGMAGCCGCCACCTCCCTGGGCAACCTGTGCCAGGGTTTTCCCACTCCTAATGTGAAAAGCTTCCTCCTCATACTGAATATCTAATTTTCCTCAACACCAGCAGGCTTTCCTGATGAAATACGTCACCCAATTTATGATGTTAACAAGGAAATATCACATCACAGTTATGGAACAGGCTGTTTTAGTGGCATGAGTCACTTCCTGATGWGCAAAGAAACATGCATTTGAAAACAAGGCTCTGTTAAAGTAGAAAAAAGAAAATTATTCATTTTATTGTACYAAAAACCAAGTTTCACAGGACCAATGTACAAAATTATGCAGTCTGTTCACTTTGCCAATCTTCAAAAAAATGTTGTGTATTATCTAGTCTAAATCTTCRTTCTAACAGCTTACGCTCATAAAATACTACTTTCCTTTCCTCTTGGAACTGACTTTTATAAACATTAAGATTTCTGCCCTACCCTTTCCCTAGAAGAAGGCCAAWTTTTTCACTTGTCCTTCTCAAGTCCTGTTTTGCAGGTTCTGTCACTTTCCTGAGAATTCTGCCCAATTGGTCTGYATCCAAATACTGAGAAATTCTGCAGAATGAACACAGACATTCTTGATGTTATTCATGCCAGAAGGAACTTTGATTTTTTTTTTCTGTAAGAGTAGCCTTTAGTGACTCAGGTTCGGTTGATAAACCACCATAAAGACTGAATTTTTCCTCTCTAGGTACTCCCTATTTGTATTTGTCCACATGGGTATTCCAGCATTCTACAAGCTTTAAAAATAAAAAGCCCAACAAAACATTTGTGTGACTGCAGGGAAAATACTGCGAGAAAATTGCTATGTTTTCATCAAAGGTTTAAGATTGAGAAAATGATACAATGCATCTTCAGATATTATAAATTTCCCTAATGATTACCTATGAGAAATCTCTCACTCCACCACGAGTAGTGGTRCAAATCCACACTAAAATAATACTGAAAATTACTCTGACACTTCATTCATGCAGTGATGTGAACACAAACACTGACAAAGTTCCCATGCACAAACAAGGAAGCTGCTGGAACCAAGCAGAATGATGCCAATCTTTGCTCTGTTTGAATATTAAAAAAAATCACYAGATTTATACACAAAATGCATTTAATTTATAATGGAGGCCAAGTCAAAAATTTCAGAGACAAAACCAAGGAAGAACAAAGTGAAAATGAAAATTTTATTGAGAGATTTTAGTGACTACTTTGGGGGAGGAGATGGGGTGTGGTGCATTGCAGAGATCTATGACAGCACCAGTCAGGTTTTGTTTTGTTCATTCCATAGTTGGCTTGGCAGGTTTACTTCATATTGATTTTGCACTGTTTTTCATCAAAACTATGGAGCAATTCTGTTGCAAAACAGGCTCAACAGTGCAGAATTTMACCTAAACAGAAGAGAAAGTACAARATGTCTRACTGCTGTTATGCCTGATGTTATTYCCTGGGGGCTGGGAAAATCACRAWCAGATCATCCTGAGWGTGATCACACRRCACAAACAGGACAACCAAGGGATCAGCAGCATCCAGCACAGGTGTGGGAAAGGCAGGTCCTGCCTGACCATCCTGATCTTGTTTTATGAGCAGATGACCCCTGGAGGATGAGGGGAAGGCTGTGGATGTGTCTACCTGGACTTCAGCAAAGCCTTTGATCCGGTCTCCCACAGCATCTCCTGGAAAAGCTGCAGCCCAGGGCTTGGACAGGTCCATCTTCCCTGGGTTAAGCACTGGCTGGATGTCCAGGCCCAGAGAGTGGTGGGGAATGGTGCCACACTCAGCTGATGTCCAGTCACCAGTGGCGACCCCCAGGGAGCAGTTTTGGGGCCAGTCAGGTTCAGTATCTTTACTGATGGTCTGGATGAGGGGATTGAGGTCACCCTCAGTAAATTTGCAGACAGCACTAAGAGTGTTGATCTGCTGGAGGGCAGGAAGGCTCTGCTCAGGGATCTGGACAGGATGGATCGATGGACTGAGGCTTGGATCAGGAATAGAGGGGCCCCAGGACTAGGACAGGGATTGTCCCTCTGTGCTGGGCACTGCTAAGGCCACACCCTGAGAGCCGTGTCCAGTTCTGGGCCCCTCAGTGCAAGAGTGATATTGAGGGGCTGGAGTGTTCAGAACAGAGCTGGGAAGGGGCTGGAGCCCCAGGAAGGCTGAGGGAGCTGGGAAAGGGGCTGAGCCTGGAGCAAAGGAGGCTCCGGGGGGACCTTGTGGCTCTGCACAACTCCCTGACAGGAGGGGGCAGCCGGGGGGGTCGGGCTCTGCTCCCAGGGAACAGGGACAGGAGGAGAGGGAATGGCCTCAGGCTGGGCCAGGGGAGGCTCAGGGTGGACACCAGGAGGAATTTGCCCATGGAAAGGTTGCTCAGGCTTGGCAGGGACTGCCCAGGGAGCTTTGGAGTCCCCATCCCTGGAGGAGTTCAAGAAACAACTGCATGTGGCACTGAGTGCCATGGTCCCGATGACAAGGTGGTGYTAGAGGTCAAAGGCTGGACTTGATGATCTTGAAAGTTTTCTGTGATTCTATAATGTATTCTGYACTTTATTTAAAACACAAGCTGCTTAAACATTTTTTTGAAATAYGCCTTTTTTAGGCTCAAGGAGTACATTTCCCAACTCTCCCACGCAGTTTTCAAATCCGTTATCAAATCTCATGGAATATTTCACTGTCAACCCACTTTTGGTTTTGCTTTCTGGGACTCAGAAGGCACTGAAGGAGCTCACTGGCCCGAGCTGCTGGGTCCAGCTGGATGTCTCAGGCTTACTGAGGTTATTTATCCTGCACATATACATTCATTTTTTGGGTTTCTCCAYAGAGACGTSCAAACCTCTACATAGTAACAGCAAAGCCATAAACTTGGACAAAGTTAAGACAGTCAAGAGAGCTTAATGTTTGCTATTTACAGCAATTAAGAGTTAGAAAGCACAAAGTCCAGCCTACACGCAGGAAAGTCAGACYCTGCTTTTGCTGCTATCAGAGGCTGTGGCTGCTCAGCACAAGGAGCAGCGTGGGGATGGTGAACTGCAGAGGTGCTTGTTCTGTTTCCCTCACTCCATTTCTGCCATGGAGCAACTCCCTGAGAGTTACTCCTGTGTTACTCTCATGAGGCAGAGACAGCCAGCAGTACTCACAGCGCCAGGCAGAGAAGGCAGAAGGAAGGACAGTCAGCGTGGAGGTGTGGCAGGAGCGTGAAACAGCGGAGCATGAGGAAAAGATGACAGAATSACAGAATATCCTGAGYTGGGAGGGACACRCAAGGATCATCACATTCCACCCCTGGCCCTGCACAACCCCAACAATCCCACCCTGTGCCTGAGMGTGTTGTCCAAACATTTCTTGAGCTCTGACAGCCTTGGTGCTGTGSCCATTCCCTGGAGAGCCTGTTCTGTACTTGACCACCCTCTAATATCCACCCTAAATCTCCTCTGAGAAAGTTTCCTGCCTTTCCCTCGGTTCCTGTGTYAGCAATTCCACCTTCCAGCAGCTCCCAGTTTCCCTTCTCTCTCAGGTGCCCCCCACAGCACTAAAAGCAAGCCCGGTATTGGGTTATTTTGTGTTTAGCCGATTCAAACCCTCCACGCAGCCACACCTCGCTAATATACACACCCACCCGCACG